TAAAAGAACCGGTTAACTGTTAGAGAGGTGTAAAACTGACAGTTGTCATGTCTCCTGGCTTGAAACATCAGCTTTTGTGAAGCTTCAAAAGACAAACTGACTGGAAAATGTGATTTTCTTATAACAGCAGCATTACAAGGATCAAGTATTCTGTTGTCATTCACCGTGAAGAAAACCTTACAGAACGAGATGCAGTTACTCAGATCTCGGTGTTAATAATGATTAGAATAAGCAACGATAGTAGAAATGCCTCGAGGCAATAGCCCTAATAACACTAATTGTTGAAAATGCTGCTAAATAATTGCAGCTAGTTGTAGGACTGCAGGTGCAGGTAAAAATGAGAATGTGGTAGCTCTACATGGAACTAAATTAGCAGTAAAATATACAGAACACCCAGTTCTGTGTAGACGATGATAAATCAGTGCTACTGTCTCTTTTCAGCTCCATGCCTGAATCTGAAACTTCACATTAATTGAGAAATTACCTGCAGTAGGGATGCTGCTGTGTAGCTTGACACTTTAATTTTGAGGAATCCATGGAGAGGGCGTGCATGAGAAGAAGAAAGCGAATCTTTGCGACGTGACTGAAGATATTTTTAACAATTTCCTCCTTTTTTTTGTGTCTTTTTCATTTTTATTGATGCCTAAGAGTTGACAGTACTGAGGCAGAGAAACTAGGAAGCAAGGGGAGATAAGGATTTTGACTTGTAATAAAGATCTTCGACTGCTATCAAACCAGATGATGCAGTTTTATTACGTGCTATGATTCTTAAATAACCATGACAGAGTTTGAGGGAGGTGGGACGGGGAGTACTGTCTTTTTAAAATAAGCAATTATTACATGTAAGACAAACTCAAAGTGGAAAAAATTAAGCAAAGTAAAAAAAGCAGGTTGTAATGATCAAATATTATTACAATATTATGTATTATAGATCTCTTATTTAAAACAATAGCTTAAAAAATCCTCAATAAAAATTTAAACTGCCTTTTCCCATTACCCAGGTAAGTTAGATCAAATATAACTGTAGTTAGATCAGTTAGATTTTGTACTCTTCAGCAATAAAATGCAAAGGGGAAGAAATTTCTTGTGGCACATTTTCAAACCGACTTTAATAAAATATAGTAGATTTAATATGTTTACAGTTTTTAGCAGGCACATTTTTTGATTTCCACATGTCATCTCTGTGAACCGTCCCCACAATGCCACGTTTTTAGTTTTCATGTTACGCTCAACACATGCTCTGTGAACATAAGCCACCAGGATGATGCACCAGAAAATGAACAATTTTCCAGGCTACTTCACTGTACTTACTTCTTCGCTGTGTATTGTGTGTCCTGTGGGCATTGAACTGTAAGAGGCCATTGCGCTTTTAGCCTGTGCCACTTTCTTTCATCTTCCAGTATTATTAAAGCTTCTTTATGTCACATAACAGTAGTGGCAGGATAAGGTACAAAAGGTGCTGACCATCTAGCTTTTCAACGACTGGGAGCAGCTCTCTGTGTTCCAGACCCTCAAGTTGGTAATGAGCAGGAGAGCCGTGTCTGCTTTCCCTCTAACACTAATACATCTCAGGTACCCTGGCAATCTAACTGGCATCAAATTCAGCTTTATTTCCATCAAGCTCCTCAGTATTCCACATTGTGAGGGGTGCATACTCAGCAGAAATGGTGAAACGCAAAGACCTGTACTGAATTAACTGAGATGTGTGTGCTGCAGTGTGTGGTCAGGTAACATGTGGTAAATGTGTGAAATTTCTGCTTTGTGCATAAATGACGGATGTTGTGAGATTCCAAACAAAAGAATGGCATTCATTAGTGAGCCTTCAAAAACTATCTGCATATTTGAATACCAAATATAAACTCTAAAGATGCCACCTCGGCACTTTGCTGAACTCTCTTTTTGTCCTTTCCAGCCATTGTTTCCAACAAACATCGGTCTGATCTGCATGCTGACAGCCTTCAGGATGAAATATGATTTTGATTTGTCACAGACATTTTTAAAAAATAAACAATACCTTAAAGTTTAATCTATTGTGAGTTTTATTAAAAGAAGTCATTTTAGTCAATAGCTCCAATGCCTTAGTAAGTCTCGACATGCTCTTTTCACTCATCTCTAGTCAATAATATCCAGCCACGTGACTGCAGTGCAGACTGAAAACTACAAAAAGGGGAGTGATACACTAAGAAAACACAACACCTAATCATTCCCACAGCGGCCAATTACAGCTACCCTGCTTCCTCCTAAGCCAATCACAACTTTCAGATGTTGTCATGAGAGCAATACTGTACCCACTATGCACTCACACACCCACCACAATGCAGGAATGAGAAACGGTGGAAAAGGATAGACCCTGGACACTTTTTTGCTCAGCTTTATTTTAACACTGCTCAATGTTGCCCAAAGGAAAGCGAGATGTTTCCAAATCTGTGTTTGGTCTCAGATCTAACCAAGCCTTATCTTTAGGGCAACTATTGTCTGTTTGCCTGCTTTTTCATTTGACTTGGTCATTTTGTCCATCTGGACTCAACAATATCTGCAACCCCCCCAAAACACAACATCCGTGTTAAAATACTAATAAAAATACAGTATTAATACGAAATAAAACAACAGCAATGCATTGTTGATGAATGCGTCTGCTGATTTGCATCTGAGGCTTTTTCTGTGTGAACCACTGATAATTACATTGCGAGGTAATCAAACCAAAAAGCTCCCTGTTTTCCAGCCTGTTTACTAACACACTGTGATAATTGCATTCGCAGGGCATGGTGTGAATGTACACAAAGCCACTATCTGAGAATGCAGCCCTAACACAGAAATGCAGCAGTGTTTAGGGAATTCTTTAATTAATTCATTCGTTGACAAAAAAAAGCCCCCCGTGTATTTCACAGCGCCTAAAAACAGAAAATCAATACTTATGCTTTTTAAATAACAAATCACTATGTACTTGTGTGCAGCTTCGCCGTGTGGCAGGATATATTGAAGCTAAACATACAGTATAATTGCACGTCATAGCAGCACAAAGCTGTGCCTCACAATGCATCCTCTTCTGAGAATTGAACTTGTCATTACTGGGTTCACTGAATGGACCCAGTGTTACATTATCCTTTATTACATGTTAGTATAACGATCACTGTGAAAAGCATTAAAAGCTTTACTTTAACATTGACAGGTTTGAGGGTAACGTGAGAGATGCAGCGAAAGAGAACGAGCAATCCATCAGTTACAAGTGAGACTGAGAAACTGGCTAAAGTGAATACACAAATTGGTCATACTGGTGTGGTAATATATCCTGTGCAGTCACCTAAAACATCACGACCCACAATGTCAGGCAGATAAATCTGAAAATGTGGGTCTCAAGAAACTCCAGTGACGTGCATGCAGCAAAAACGATTGTGCCATCAATCTCAAAAGTCACTTTTTTATATATGAAATTCTTCTAAATTGTCCCACACTCTCTTGGCCCCTGAAGCTGCGTTATATGTCTACAGAATGTCTGCCAAAGGCTGGGCATCAATACAATGCTTCTCCTATGATTTGTGAGAGATGTCCGGAGCAGAGCACAGTATGAAATGCAGAGAACAGCCGGGCCTCTGTAGGCACCATTATATTGATCTATACTCTGTACCTGTGTCACTGCGCTGATCGACGACGACAGAAAGACAAAGACTAGCAGCTCAATCGAGGCCGAACAAAGACGTCACCTATGAGTCAGCTGTCTTCTCACAATATGCCTGTTCATAATTCTTCTTTCAAACATTAGCTATTCCTTGACATTGAAGATGACAACCCCTATGATTTGTTCAGTCTTGACTATGAACCTAATTACTTAGACTAGACAACGCTTGAAGGATCTTTTCAATCACGACAAATTTACATCCATGCATATGTCTGTGTGTGCTGGCTCTAGTTCAGCTTTATCAGTAAGCAGAAACGCGTAATCATCCTGACACGGGACGGAAAAGAAAAATCACCAATGTAGTCGCACTGACATCAAGCTGCAGATTGAGCCTACGTGAGATCAATACGGCAACAGATCAATTCAGCGACAGGATCTTAGAAACCTCGATGCTAATGCTGGCGTTAAGTGGAAATGAGCAGACTTTAAATGCAAAATTACAAAAACACAATGCATCAGTTGATTGGCTAAATTGGCTGTTAGTGTGAATGTGAGTGTAAATGGTTTTCTGTCTCTCTGTGCTAGCCCTGTCCAGAGTTTACTCTACTTTTCATCCTATTAACAGCTAGAAAACGGATGAAATAGATGGATATATGCCTTTTTTCCCCCAATCTGTACACAAGAAACATTAGTTTCATGTTCAGTGTTTGGAGTTGCAGTTTCTTGTTTTTTAGTTTAGAGTATTCTTGTTTATCTTTGTTTTTTTTTAAGGATTTATGTTTGAAGTCTTACAGTTTCTTGAGTGGTTTTGGTCATTGTTCTCTGTGTCGTCCTGGTCTGTTTCCCCAGTCATGTCTCTGTGCTGCCTGGTCCCTCTGTGGCCTGTCTCTGTGGTCTGTCATGTCTCTTTTTATTCTTCCTTTGTCTTTGTCAAGTCCGTTTGTCTCAGTCTGCGTTAGTTTCCTGTTTTAGTTTGACAGTCTCTTGTCATGTGTGCTTTATATTCAGTTTTGCTTCCCCTGTCGTTACTCAAACTTCGCTCACCTGAGTCTTGTTTTCCCCAGCTGTGTTCCATCTCTCTAATTGCCTTATGTGTATATTTAAGTCCCTAATTTCCTTCTGTTCTACGTCATTTCGTCATCATATTCCTTCATGCTGTGCGCGCTCCAGTCTGTCAGTGTTTCAGTCAGTCCTCTCCAGTTAACGCCGCCTTATGTTTTGTTAAGTTTGCCGGTGCGAGCTAATAAAGCTGTGTTTTGAGTTTATGTTTGTCTGCAGAGTCCTGCACTTGGGTCCACTCTCTGTCTGACACAGCATCCCATAACAATTAGCTCTATAGCTCTATATAATTAAGATATCAAGATCTCGCACACAAAGAACTCACCCCTGAAGTTCCTTGACAGACATGGAGATCTTGAGGTTGTGTCCCAGAACATGAAGTGCAGTGAGGATATCAGCCCATTGGACCATTTCGCCTAGAGGCCCTCCCTTCAACACCTTTGGGCTGAAAACATCTCCAGACTCCTCAGTTAGGAAGCCTACATGAACGAGGATCTGAAAGAGTACACATTGTTATAGAAGAGTTAAAATAAAGGTCTGTAGATGGGGAACATAAGAAAACTTGAAAGGACATTGTTTAATAATAAATAATCTTTAAACAAAGGTTTTTACGAAAATCATGTTTTTGTGGTTTCTTATAATGTTCTGCTGTATTTAAATTAAATTATAATCACAAAAAAAAATCTGTAAATGTACCTAAAATAATAATGACAATGATCTTCTACTCCTGCACCATCGAGAGCGTCCTGACGTCAAACATCTGCACCTGGTTTGGGAACAGCACCAAGCAGGACAGACGAGATCTGCAGAGGGTGGTGCGCTCGGCAGAACGCATCATTCAATCAGAGCTCCCTGACCTGCTGTCCATCTACACCAAGCGGTGCAAGTCCAAAGCTAGGAAGATTATGATGGACCTCT